TTCCTGAGACAGAGTTTACAAGGTTGATTCTTGATGTTTTCTCATTGTCATGTCACTCTCAGGTGTGACCTTCATGTCGAATAAAGCCTGTTAGGCTTGAGAGAACAGGGAGAAACTGAAGCAGAAAAGCAAACTCAGAACTACCCTTTTTTAATTCTTTTCAGGCATCAAGTGACAGAAAAGACATAAGAGACCTTATATTGCAAAGTGGATTTAGACATGTCAATGTAAAATTACAGAATATTGCTTAGGAATGATATCTTCAACTGTAAATGAAATTTTTTTTGCAATTGTGTCTGGACCTTGAAGCCAGTCATCATATAGGAGAGACTTCACCACACTGGGGGAGAGGAGGGAGACCTTTCTTTAATTGGTGTGTGTTTGTATAGCATTATAGATATTTCAGAACACTATAAATTCTTACAGTGAATTTTTTCACTGGATGAGGTTAGGTGCAGTGTCCTTCCTTGAGGAGAACAGAATGATTTGTCTTTTCTGGTTACTTGTACAAGAACTAGGACTAGACTGTGTGCTGGCATAAAGCAGAAGTAGATGAAGAAAATCCAGTCTGTCTAGTGCTGGTTGTTTAAGGATTTAATAATTTAAGTGCATTATTGGGTCAGGACCAAAATGTTCAGCACCTCGTGGGCTGAAGCCCAAGGAGAACAGTTGTATGTGCTCCAGGCTGCTCAGAGGAAAAAGACATGGCCATCAGTTTATTGGCTTTCATGCATTTTGGATAGCCGGGGCTGACTGCATAAGTAAACTTCTATTAACTTTGAGTTAAGAAGAATTTAAGACATTCTGGGTCTTTGAGGTATTTTCATGTACAGTACTAGCTTTTGTACATGGTAACATGAAAAAAACACTTTTCATATTGTAAACCTACATGGTTCTTCTAGTATCTTAGTGTTTTTGAATAGAATATATTAAACAAGTCGTGGGTAGAAACATGTTATTACTTATTTTTTCTCTTAATCCATTGGATTGATATTTTTTGAAGAATGGTTTGGTTTGGGGGACTTTTTTTTTTTTTTAATCAAGTATGGTTGATACTATAGTTCAGAGTAGACACATACTTTTCTTGATACATCTACAAATCTTTAGTCACACTTTCCTTTATTTTTTTCTAATTGGCTGAACACTAGCTTAGTTTGGAGGCATGTTGCCTGAACAGACCTCAAAACAAGTTTCAGAAGTGGCCAAGTATAACATTTTATTCCAATGTAGTGTTCCTTTGAGAACTTTGCTGCTGTTGTCTTAAAAATGTGAAGGCAAATGCCTTTGACTAGTCATGTGAATTTGAATGTAATATTGTGCTTATACTGTCATTTTGTCCACACTGCTTGGTGTGTTGTGGCCATTGCCAGTATGAGGACCGTTCTGTAATGAGTTAGAGTTTTGGAACCTAAATCAGATAATTTTTTGGTTCTTTCATTGAAAAATACCTTAGGTTTCTCTTCAAGAAACTTGAAAGTTTTCATAAAAGTTTTTTTTACAACAGCTAACTTGTGTGGGAGGCTCTTAAATCAACTTTCTATTCTATTACAATATGTTTTGTCTTGTATTATATACAATAACTATATCCCATTAACTTAAAGGGATAATGTACGTGATCAGAAGCCATTTCCAGTAAGTCCAACACTGATTCAGGCACTGATTGAGCTCTTTCAAGATTTTGTTAGTTGAAATTAAGTAATTTGTAACTATGACTGAAATATCAGTATTCAAATTAAACTATTTTCTTGCAAAAAAAAAAAAAAATAGAAGGAAACTTAGAGATCAGAGGTACAATTAAACAATCCTGTGTCAGTTTCCCTCCCTTTGTTCCCCCTGCTTGGGCATGAGGAGGGCTTGGACATGTTGAGGGTTGAGGAAGGCTTGATTGGACTACCACACAAGAGGACAAGTCTCTGGGAATGGTTATTCACCCTTCAGAAGCAGGAGCAACCTGGAGTAAGGCAACAAAGTGGCTGAAGCTGTTGGTTTCTCCCTTCCTCAGTTGAAAATTCTGGGTTAAATACAGTACTTGTGATGCCTTTAAACATACACTTGTGAGGTTCATTGTTTGCTGGAAGTCACTTTCTTGGTTTGATATATATATACCCTCTTGTTACTTTTTACCATGCCACGTGTACCCATCCATCCACATCAGGGCTTTTTTTATTGCCAAATACTGCTGCTACTAGCGGTGAGTACTGGGAGTGAACGTAGATTGTGCTGAAGTGAGCAATTCCTGTTGTAATACCCTTCAGTAATGCACATTCCTTGGGCAAAAGCAAATTGCAGGAGAGGGTTTTTAGTTCTTGTCTGGCTAGTAATCTGCTGGTCCCATGCTGTACCCATGTTTGCCCCTTCTCTATTGAAACAGCAGCAGCTACTGTGGCTTGAAATGGCTCATGTGCAGTTGGCTGGTAGAGGTCATGTTTTGTGGCAGTGCTTACTGTAGGTTGCAAGCTGTTGAGGTGATGGAAGCCTCTCTTTGTGGAGTGCCTGCAGCCATAGAATTTTTTTGTATTTCATCTTTGTTTAGGATATGTAGTAATATCAGTACTTATAGTGTACTGTGCAAGGCACACTGCAGAATGGAAGTGATTCTTATTCTTAACCATAGCTTTTGTGCTTTGAGGCTAGAGAGTGTTACTACCTTGGCTGCTTTTTAAAAGTGAGTTCATTTCCCCTATGATCTGTTTTAGATTTAGTAATTTATATATCACCGATACTTTTATATTCTCTATTCTTCCTTTTAAAAATTGTAATTAATAAATATTTATTATCATTACTAAACACATATATTTCTTAATATTAATAAATACTAATGATTTAATTGCCTTGTAGATAATGCTTTCCAACAGAATAAAGAAATCCCTTCAACAAAGGAAAGCATTCTTTGTTGCAAAAAATCCTTGAAGTGGTTATTTCTGCTTACAATTGCAGGCTTCCTGAATTTCCAGGAATCCTAGAATGTGTTCCTATTGATAGAAGAAATCATTTGCATTGAGATTTGGCTGTGTTTATAATTATTCTTTTGTATTTACTGCAACCTCTTAGTAGATTGATAACCTGTATTGCCCGGTCTTAAAGCATGGGTTAGTCTGATCCTGACTTAATACTGCAGCCTTTCTAAGTTTTGGTGCAAAAACTTTTCCTGTTCTTGTTGTCTTTCCTTAACCTAGTTATAAAAAATATCTTAACAACTATTTATTCATAATAAGTATTGTTTTTCAAAATCTACTACTGGTTGGGGGGGGGGGGGGGGGATGGGTTTGGTTTTTTTTTTTTTTTTTTTTTTTTTTTTTTTTACTCAAGCGGAAGTTGCCTATCTCATTTTGTAACATGAGAGGCGGGTAGTTCAGTGAGCCCTAGGAGCCACCCTGGTGGTCTAAGCCCCATTGTTTCAGGCACACTGTAAATCTAAAGCAAAACTTTTTTGATTTCTGTCCCAAACAGCTGACTGCTTTCTTGAGAACTTTATGAGTACTTCCAAGAACACAGCCGATGCATACTGTCCCATGTGAAAGAAGTGACTGTGGATTACATGAATTGATATTTCTAGTCTGCCAGAGCGAATTATGTCTATACAGCCTTCATTGGCTTTCAGCAGGTGAAGCTGGGTTTTGGCTCTTGTAGGCCCCGGAAACATGTTATGCCTGCACTAATATTTCTACTAAAAATACATTAAAAAATATTTTTTGAGAGAAAGTTAAGAATACTTGGTGTTTGGCTACACAGTAACTAAAATGTAACATATGAACTATTTAAATTAAATATGTTTGTAGCTTGTGGGTGTTTTTAATGGTTAATAAACCAAGCAAAACTAATATCAAACAACCCCCCTCTCCAAACTTTCTAAGAAGACATACCCAGCTTGCATCTGAAGTGCCAAACTGTTAGAACATAGTATCTAAGAGGTATTCAGCCAGAACGTGCTCTGTTTTCTTTCTTCCATTTAAAAGAAGCCATAATACCAGCTGTGATAATTCCATTCAATATTTTATAAAAATAAATGTTTACATGCTCAGATGTCAAATGGTAATGTTAAGAATTTCTCCCTTAGTGGATGGAGACCCAAGCAGTGCTGCTGTCTAGCAGAGACTTGGCACAGGTGCTTTTTGGCATGTGGTTTCTGCTGTTAAGTGAAGTAGAAAAGTTGTAAAAAAGCAAGGTTATAAGTCACCATTGACTCCCTGTGTCTCCAAAATGTGCATCATTGACAAGACAATGCCTAGGTCTGAGTTTCCCATGATGGCATTTAATAACGAACTGTTGTAAAGATTCATATGTTTGTACCATCTGTCTAATAATAATTAGAATTCTGTTTGTTTCTTTTATTTTGGGGCAAGAAATAAGACCAAACCATCACTGTCAAGGTTTCTTTAATACTGTCTACTTTGAAATAACATTTCAAGAAGAGAGTACTAGGTAGGATAGGAAGTTGAAAGATACTACAGTGAGTTGGAAATCACTTTGATTTTATTTTCAATAAAAATCAAATACATGAAAAGATTTTCATATCTCAAATTCTGTTCTATAATAAATAATGTTTAGTTTGGGAGTCTTTCCTTAACCTTTCAAAATGTTTTGTAACAAAAATGCTTTTACATATTATGTACTAATGGAAAAGTACTGGTGCTGTTTCACCGGGACAAAAATAAACGAAGTGGAGGCAAAAGGTGAGTCTTTCAAATCTCTAATATTATTCTTAGAACTAGACTGAGCTAAAGTATGGCTAGCTAGGAATGTCTTGTCTTCTGTTTAGACCTCAAACACATTTTTAGACTGTTGGTTGTTCTTCCTCTGATGTTTATGGAAGCAGTTTGATTTTAAATGAAATTTGAATTAATTTGAACTCAGATTTGGTTAGCAGGGGAATGTACTCTGTTTTCAAAACCAGTTCTTTTTGTTGAAGTAATTTCTAAAATTTTAAGTCAATGTAATGAAAGTATTGTATATGGAAACTAATGAAGGAAAGCAAACATTATGTCTTCTATGTTTCTGACAGGTTGTGAAGATGAGAAAAGATGTGAAGAAGGCCAGAGTCCTGACTATTCGCAGACTAACCAGACACATCGGGAAATTAAAGTTGAAAAAGTCAGTTTTAAGTACCAGTTTTCTTGTTTGTGTGATTATAAATGAGACAGTATCTTAACTGTTTCCTCAGAAGTGGAGAATTAGGAGAAACATGTATTATATTTAAAACTGAAGGCACTATGATGTTTGAATTACATTTTTCTTATTTTTACATCACTTTAGATAGACTAAAAATACTAACTAAAAAGTAGTTTCGTTAAACAGAATTGGGATAACATTTTCTTAAAGGGATTTAGTGTATTGGAAGCTAATCCAAATCACTTACAGAACCTTTTACAGCACTTCTAAAAGTATCAGACTTGATCTTTTATGTTATTCTGGTGTTGAACCTAAGTTGTGCAGCGTTTTCTGACTGCAGTTGTCTGCAAGGTTCTATAGCAAAAAATATTATTCAATTTGCATAGATACAAATGGGGAAAATACAGTGAATAAAACCCATTCTTTTTTAATAAAGACAGACTTCATTTGCAGGGGTTCCGAAGACTTGAAATTAAAGAACCAAAAACGAGTTGAGAGATTAATAGAAGAAATCCATGCCATGAAGGTAATACCATTCTTAGATATTTAAATATTAGAGGCAATTAATTTTAGTAACAAAAAGCTTCATCTGTTTCCTGGAACTGCATTACTGAAACTTAACTGAAACATTTCCAGAGGCAGCCTGGTCATTACTATAACACAGCTGGAAAATTATAAATATTTGCATATTTCCATTTTGCTGCATCTGTCAAGGTGTTAGACAATTTGAGTCTTAAGCTTGCCAGGCTAAACATGGATTTGTTTAGAAATGTATGGTGCTTGAAGTTTTTACTGTAACAGTTAAAGCGCAGAAATTAAAGTTTTCTTGCCATTCAGGAGTATGGAAGCTATTTTGTGCACCCAGCAATACAGTATCCTGTTGTCAGTTCTCTTAGCTTTAAGTATGATGCTACTTGTGTTTTACTTTCGACTTCAAAGTTCTGTAGTAGTGTGAAATTTTAGCTGCAAGGGACTGGTAGCGCTTGAGTCAGACCTTTTTTTATCTTTAGCATTGCTGTCAATTGATACAGTTTTTGAATCTTATGACATATCAGCAAATGCTTCAGAAATTTTATATCTTCATAATGTTTTGTACTTAGTCGTATCTCAATTTTAACTGATACTGCTTACAATTATGTGTGTTTAAATGAGGTGTGAATTCCAGTTATAAGGCTTGAGCACAAGTCCTGTATAGGACAAGAAAACTTTTCACATAAAATGACTGGTTTGGGGTTTTTTTAACCTTTCTTTCTTTTTTCTTTAAAATCTTTCCTTATCCTTGCACAGATCTTATTCTTCAAAAAAGCTGGTAACTGGAAAGGCTTCATTGACGCATTTAGACGTGCCTTGTGGCAGATTTCATCAGGTGGAATCATAGGGGTATTTAGCACAGTATTTAGAATAAGGAGAGTCCTGCTAACTCAGTAAAGGGGAAAAGAAAATGGGCAGCACTGTATTAAAAGGTAAAGCACTGCTCAAGCAACATGACAGTCATATTCAGGCATTCTGCTTTTCTGGCTCACCATCAAGTCTTAAACTTGGTCTTGTAATTGTTATTTTTTTATGTGTCTATTTGAGCATGGTGAGGATTCTGGAGATGTTTCTCAGTTTGTAAGAGTATATGTCAAGTGATCAGGTGTGGTGCAGCACTGAGCTCACAAGCCCATGTTTTACAGGGCTTCTGTGCGTGCTTCTCAGAGGGTTTCACTGCAAGATCTGTTCTGCACACATCTCCCAGAAGCATTCACTTTGTCCACATTGTGCTTTTCCTTCCAGGATTGGCTCATGCAGCCATCTTTTAAGGCCAGACATCTTTTAAAGACACCTTTAGGCCTCCTGCGACCAGGACTGTATTGGCCAACTACATTCAAGCTGTTTCTTCACTTGGCATTAATGAGTGCAGGATTTGTGTTAACTTTAAGAGCAACTGTCAAGGGAGGATAGATCTGTAACCTGGAGAGCTGAAGGCAAACAAATTTTGCTTTGAAATAGTTTATAGAAAGAGAGGAGTTTTCAATGTGAGCAGCTGAGAAAGAGGAAAAGCTCCCCCATTTCTCAGGCAAATAGCTAGTAAACGTACTCAGTTATTGGAAGTTGTGCTGTAAGTGGTCTGTATTGTTAAAAAAATGCACTCTTATATTAGTAATATTTTTATAGCAAAAAGATTGGTTTTCTTGGGGTTTTTTAGTCTTTAAAAATGAACAAATAGATACTAGCTCTACAGTTTGTTTCTTAGATGAAAGAAAAAATCCCAATTCTTATGAATCACAGCCTAAAAGGCATTACTTGTTTACGTATTTTTTCACCACTGTTGATTTCTAGACTAGGCTTTTTAGAGTTGGTGTAGAAATATTCCTCATTCAGCATGGAAAAGTGACAAGACAGCTTTCACTTTCATTGATGTTACTTGAGATAGTGGGAGATTTTATATTGGTATAACATCTCCCAGCAACACTTTGTCTTAAGTTATTGCTCGTAGGATTCATGAAGAACTCCTGGCGTAACTGAATGGATATTTTAGAATTTTTAGGAAAGAATGGACAGAATAGAAATGGTTAATAAGGTAAATTGGTAAGCGATCTACAAAGTTGCAACCTAGAGCAGGCTTGTATTGCTCAGACTATTCCAGCAGTTTCAGTGTGTGGATCCCAAACACTTGTCAGGTGAGATGCATATCCTTTCAAAACAGTGTGCAGAATATAGGAGTTGGTAGTTTTCCATGTAACATGAAGAAATAGCCCATAAACTTCTTCTTACATGTTTTATGTAAGAAAGAATGTCTGCATTCTTTCTTACTGTATGTTGAGTAGTATAGCAAGCTGCAAAGAGAAGTTCAGTTGAAAAGACAAAAACCAACAAAAATAATTACACCAGCCAAAGTGCTTTGGAGCCAGAAAGTGGATGTTACACCAGTCTTGACAACATGTGTATTTTCAGACTAGAAGATTTCTTGACATGGCTACTTACAACTTCTAGAACTTCGTAATTCATTGGACAGAGACATGAAGGGTTGCTGTAGATTGAAGAAAATAGGTCTTTGAAAGAAAAGGGAAACAGTACAATTTTTTTCTGATTTTTTTTTTTTTCCCAGTTGCCAAAGGCAGCACACCTCTTTCTAAATATGCATTTTTCTTCCATCAGTCAGGAAGAGATCCAGACCACCTTTCCCCTACCACATATCCAAGGAAAAAAAAAAAAAAAAGACCTCTGGGGACTCCTGGCATGTGGCATGAACAGGGTCTTTTGTGAAGGACTTTATGTATCCTGATGAACTCAGAAGGCACGAGAGGAAGATTGCATTTCATAGGGAATTTGTTTCAGGCTCAGGGAAGATAGACTGAAATCCTGGAACCTTGACACTGTTGTCTGTCTTACCAAGGTTTTCAATGCGATGGCTTAAGTTTCTCTTACTCAGGAAAAAAAATCTGAGTGGTTGAAATCCCAATAAGGGAGAATTCCTTGCCACCTTATTTCTTCATTCAGCTGTTTGTAAACCCACAAACCTTTTGTACTAGTTCATTTACTTGGGTAATCTGTTTCTTGCTCAGCACAGTGTTTCAGTATGGCTGCTGCCACTTCATGGAACAACTATTATGTTTCATAGAGACTGTTACAAAAAAAGAAAAAAAAAATGCATTGCCTGATGGTGCATCTGTTGTTAGAGGCTGGCTGCCTGCAGCTCAGCAGGACTTGTAAGAGCTGCTGTCCTTCTGAGTGAGACAAATCTGAACTTTCAGTTACAAGACCTTAACTTCTCTTTGTAGTGTGGATCTTTACTAATTACAATCTGATATTATAGGAAGGAGAAAATGCTTGCTATTATCTGGTAATTCTTGTCTTATCACTAAGTCTTGGGGATGCTTTTTTCTTGTCATCAGGGGGACTCAAAGCAAACCCTGCTGGCATAATTTTACTGTAAATATACTGTTTCCCAGGAGTGGGACATAATTAGATGCTTACTTTTCAGGTTAAATACTGTGTCTATGTCTACTGTTTTTTAATATCCTGTACAAACTCACACATGCGCTGTTCTGCACCTATTGAAAACCTAGGAAGTGTTGATGCTGGGCTGTATTTAAGAAACTTTGTTATTTAATTTGCAGATAGCATATATTGTTGTGTTATTGTTGGAACGACATTTAATTTTTGATTCTATATGGTTGCATTGTTAGAACTGGAGATTAAAAGTAACTTAATCGGCAAATAAATTAATAATGTCTCAAGCACAACAATCAGAAGTAAACATTGTGGGAAGTGAGACCAGTTAAAAATTCCAGCTACGTGGATGCAGGAACTGGGTTAATTGTTTGCAGAAGTTCTGAAACTATTGGAGTAGTACACTGTTTTTTGTGTCCTTCAGATTCTGTTTTGCCAATACTGTATAAAATATATAACAATTCATGAAAGATGGGAAAAAAGAACAGTAAGATCCTTTCTAATTCTTTTGCTACAATACTACTTTTTTAAAATACAAAATTGTGTATACTTACAGGAATTTTTTTACTTGTTTGTCAGGCTTGATGAGACTGTCAAAATGGATTAACTCTCCATTGTAGAGTACTTCTTACCATATTTACGAAGCTATGATATTTTTAAAGGTTTTTTTACACAAAAATAACTGATAGTCTAGTGATTTCTTATCAACATGAAGCTTATCTTGAATTGTTTAAATTTCTTTGCTGAAATTAGGTCTTAATACAATTTTATGTGGCTTTACTGTGTATTTAGGAGTAGTTTTTACCTTTATCTGACAATAGAAACCTTGGTATTATGGCAGGTGTTGCTATAGCAATATCATGTTTAGAGAATACCCATTAATGAGTTATGGAAGAAAGGCTATTTGCAGTGCTTGAAGGAAAAGTTGTTAGGAATGAGCAGCAGTTGGATACCACCATTGTTAAATGACTTGGAAAGATCCGTTCTCTATCCTGAAAATTATGACTGGAGAAACAGAAAAGTCGGTATAATGTTTTTTGTTAAATACACTTAAACCACAATATTTATCATAGACTAATGGGTTTAGTACAAGAGATACAAGAAAAAATAATACTTTCCTCTAATTTGTTTTCTGAACTTTATATTTTAGCAAGATACGAAGAGAAGTAAAGTATGAACTCTAGTATTACTGTCAAGCTTTTGAAAGCCAAATTGTTTTGTAAAGGTAGAGCTTAAGTCTGAAGGATGTTTTCACAGACTGTGGCCTTAAAACAAAAATCATGAAAGTAATAGCAATATAGATGAGAGAGGGCTTTTGCTCAGGACTGGGTAATTGATGATTTTAGAGTAGCCCAGCCTAAGGAGCTCAATAGGTCTTTCTTTTAGTATGATCATTTTGCATGGAATTTTGTATCCTGAAGTACCAGACCTTCTAATGATTTCTTCTAATCAACACTTCCACCCAGTTTAGTGTCACCTGTAAATTTGCTGAGGGTGCACTCAATCTCCTCGTCCAGGTCATTGATAAAGATGTTAAACAGAACTGTGCCCAACACTAAGCCCTGGGGAACACCGCTTGTGACTGGCAGC